TCGGGTCTCACAGTCGGTAAACTTTTTGCTAAGGTAATAAATGGCATGCTCTTTTCGACCAGACTCGTCATGCTGCCCCAGCACGCACCCCATTGAGTTGTCAAGTACTCTCAGGTATAGTATCAGAGGTCTCCCTTCAACCGGTGGCATAAGAATGGGTGGTTCTTGGAGATACTCTTTGATTCTGTCAAAAGAGGCCTGACATCCATCGTTCCAACGTACTACCTGATCTTTCTTCAGCAGCTTGAAGATTGGTTCACAGGTAGCAGTTAGGTGCGAGATGAATCGGGCAATGTAATTCAGGCGTCCTAAAAAGCCTCTGACCTCTTTCTCTATCTTAGGAACTAGCATCTCTTGAATGGCTTTAACCTTGGCAGGATCCACTTGAATACCCTTATCACTTACGACGAAGCCCAACAACTTTCCAGATCTTACCCCGAAGGTGCACTTGTTCGGGTTCAACCTCAGCTTGTACATCTTCAGACGGTCAAACAGCTTCTGCAGATGGTCAAGGTGTTCCTCCTCAGTTTGAGACCTTGCAATCATATCATCAACATATACTTCTATCTCATGATGGATCATGTCATGAAATAAAGCAACCATGGCACGTTGGTAGGTTGCCCCAGCATTTTTCAACCCGAATGGCATGACCTTGTAGCAGAAGGTGCCCCACTGAGTGACAAAGGTAGTCTTTTCCATATCTTCAGGAGCCATCTTGATCTGATTATAACCTGAAAAACCGTCCATGAAAGAGAACACCTTGTGCTGAGCAGTATTGTCAACCAAGACATCAATGTGAGGTAGGGGGAAGTCATCTTTGGGGCTGGCCCTGTTCAGATCCCTGTAATCGACACACATTCTGACCTTTCCATCTTTCTTTGGTACCGGCACCACATTAGCAACCCACTGAGGGTAAGAAGTCACTGCAAGAAACCCGGCATCAAACTGTTTCATAACCTCGACTTTGATCTCCTCAGACATCTCTGGATGCATACGGCGGACCTTCTGTTTAACCGAAGGGCAGTCTTCCTTGGTAGGCAAATGATGGACCACAATGTCGGTATCCAACCCAGGCATGTCTTCGTAGGACCATGCGAAGATCTCCACATAATCATGTAACATCTGAATTAACCGTTGCTTCACGCTGAGCTCTAGGTTGGCACCAATCTTGACTTCCTTTCTGTCTGTCTCAGTACCCAGATTTACCGTTTCCACTGGCTCTTCATGTGGTTGAATTGCCCTCTCTTCCTGGAGTAACAGTCTTGCAAGCTCGCCAGGCACTTCACAATCATCTTCACCTTCGTCTTCGGCTAAGTTGATCGGATTTTCGAAGTCATAACTGGCAGTAGCAGAGTCGTTACCAGTGAGATCCATAGTGGATTGAAACCTGTGTAGGTGAGTGTGTGTAAATACAGCTGTTTTGCAATATATATAGAAAGGAAAGAAAGAAAAGGAGCATAAGATTTGAAATGTGAGAAAACGTCCAAGGTCTTTATTCATGATATATGAAATGACAATTAATATGCCCTCACAAATGAAGCCACGGTGCCCCGGGTAAGACACCGGGCCATAAAGTTTCAATTCATTGTTTATTACAAATAACAAAACAAAGGAGTTTATTACTGCGTAACAAAAGTAACAGGAGTATGATCTTTAGCAGTCCAATTGGTCAATCCACCATCAGTCGTCGGGTAAATCCAGCTATCGAACTCCGATTCTTCCACTTCGTCCTCATCCCCAATAGCATTCACTCCTGGATTGGTGATGAGCACAGGAGGTCTTCTGGTCCTTGCCTTGCGCACAACCCTCTGAGCCTCTGCAGTAAAACCCAGTCCAAACTTGTCAGTTTTAAGAGTGAAATCAGGGAGCCTGCCCCAGTTAGCATATTCACCTTTCTCGATTACCGCCCGGGCATCCTTCAGGGAAGCCATCTTCAAAGGAAAGTCCTCTTCGACCACTGTTTCTGCTGCTGCCAATGTTGGAGGTACCTCTTCAAAATGCTGAAAGGGGGTTTCAATAAACTCCCCGTCCATCTCAATATACCGGAAGGAATTTAAATGACTCACCATATATTCTTCCCCCCCCTGCACAGTGATAATCTTCCCTCTGACAGGGTACTTGAGCTTCTGGTGTAGGGTAGATGTCACTGCCCCGGCTTTGTGAATCCAAGGTCGACCCAGTAAACAGGAATAAGATGGACGGATATCCATCACATAGAAAGTTGAGTCGAATACTTGAGAACCCACACGAATAGGAATGTCTACCTCTCCATGAACCATCCTCTTCGATCCGTCAAAGGCTCGAACAATGATGTTGCTAGGTTTCAGCTCCAGGCCCTCACAATCCAACCGGTCTAAGGCCTTCTTGGGTAGCACATTCAGGGAAGAACCGGTGTCCACTAACACGTGCGCAAGAGTAGTGCCCCTGCATTCAATAGATACATGCAGGGCATCATTGTGGTTCTTTCCCTTAGCAGTAAGGTCAGCATCCGAGAAACCCAAACCGTTGTCAGCTGTCAAATTGGCTATGCAATCAGTAAACTGGTCTGCGGAGGTCTCTTGTGGCATATGGGCCGTCTTTAGAAATGAAATCAAGGCCTTAGCATGGGCCTTTGAGCACAGTAGTAATGAGAGCATAGAGATCTTGGAGGGTGTATGCCCCAGCTGTTCAACGACATTGAAGTCGCTCTTCTTGATTATCTTCAGAATTTCCTCCATCTCTTGTTGGGAGGCTTCAACACTCACAGATTTTGGTGCCTCCATCCGAGAAGGCTCATCTTCAATCCCTTTGCTCCGAGCATTAGATGACTCGGCAGCAGGGGAAGCAACTTGATCAGAAATGGGAACAGGTGCACTTGTAGGTGTCATAATGAGAGGTCTTCGAATAACTGGTGGCCCAATGTCAGGCGAGAAGAGCCTGCCACTGCGGGTTACTTTGGCTGGACCAGTGATATTGCTGATGCTGGTACCAGTGTTAAATTCTTGCTTTATACCATGTACATATACATCTTCCCCATAGTGCCATGGGACAGCCTTATCAGATTCATAGGGGAGGGGCCCCAGAACAGTAATAACAATGGGTGCGACAGTCATGATTTTAACTGGCTTCCTCGGGGGAGCCTTGATTGGATTATTGAAAATTGTAACAATAGATACTTCTTCCACAGGAACAAACGGAACATCGGTTTTCTTGAACAGAATCTCTTTGCTGTCCATCAGGCTTTGGATGCCTAACTTCAGCAAAGGACAACCAGTAGGGGTAACAGCACACAAAAGGCAACCCTTGCTGCAACCCGGAAATAAACCGGCCAGCAGTAGGTTCCTCTTAACAGTCATCAGAGGGGTAGCTACATCATTCACAGAAACGGCATACACATCTTCATCAACGACATTCACTCCATGCTGGGGCATAGGAGCAGTCACCACATTTGGCCTCTCAGGCGCCTCAAATTGTATCTCCTTCGCATCAATAAGGTCTTGCACCTTATTCCTTAAGGCCCAACAATCATCAGTAGAATGCCTCGGGCTATCGGAGTGATAAGCACAGCGGGCATTTGGATTATACTTGGGAGAGGCAGTATTCACAACCTTTGGGGCCTCCCTAACAGTCACCAAGTTGGTGGATAGCAACTGCGGCAAGATTTGCGACAAGGTCATACTCAGACGGGTAAACTCTCTTCTGGGTCTCTCAGCCCTTTGTTGATTGGTTTGTCGAGGAGCGGCAGCAGGCTTAGAAATCACCACCGCGTTGATAGATTGGTGGCGCTCTGGTTTATCATGTCTTCTAGGCCCATACACAACACTGGCCTCCTTCTTAAAAGGTTTCTTCTCAGCACTTGAAGATGCACCTTTCTGAATTTTACCGGACTTCATTCCAGCCTCTATCCTTTCCCCAGTCAAAATAAGATCAGTGAATCCTGTTGTACCCCAATTTTTGACCTAAGATCCCACCTCCCATCTGCATTATTACATAGCAAGCGTTCACAAACGATTCGACCTATTTTTGCCACTTCTCGGGTCAGATTTCAAAAATTCATAACTTCTTCAAATTTCGACATTTTTGAGAGGTTGTTTTTGCACATGATTTTCCTTGACATCATCCATAACTTTTCTTTGTAAATCAAGGGAAAATTATGCATTAAAAAAGCCATGAAAAATTGTTGACGTTAAAAGTTGTTTTGTGAATTTGGTGAAATTTGGGTTCGACTGTGTTTTATTCATGATTTCTTTTCCATTAAAAAATTGCAAAAGACGCACTTAACATGTGTTATTATTTTTATTTATTTATTTATAATTTTTTTATTTTTTTTATTTTTCTTTATTCAAAATATAAAAAATATGGTCTTTTATTAATTCTATTTAAATTTATGTTTGTATCACTTTATTTGAAAAATCTAAAAAAATATGTGATTAGCGTCATCTTTATTTTAGTTGTATTTTACATCCAGAAAATCTCAAAGAAAAAAAACATATAGTTAATACCATTTTCATTTATTTACATTTTTATTTCTTTAGTCATTATAATTTTAGTTCCTTTTTAATTTTGATTTAGTTCTAATATTAATTGAATTTCTTAAATTGAATTATTATTATTACTAATTACTTTTTTGTTTGTGTCTCTTATTTTAATTTTTTTTTGTACTTTTAATTTAGTTGTCATTAACAATCTCTTTTTTGGTTAATTATTATTACTATTTTTTTCTTGCTGTTAATTTTTGTTCTATCCAATTTTGCTTCAACTCTTGTCAAATCTTCCCACAAATCTGTTACTGTCATACTGCAAAAATTTGCACCATAATACATCCAAGAAACTTACATGAGAATGGCATTTTTTTCAAAAAAAAAAGAATAAAGCAAAAAAGTCATACTATATTTCCTCTATCTATAGAATAAACTTCAACCTCAGTCAAAAAAAACCACAACGGTAATAACCCCTTTGAATTTCTTCACAAACCTTCTAACTCCCATAGGACCCCTCTCTTCACATTCATATACATCACCAACCATTTGTTCTAGATAACCCATCACCTTCAGTAACAAAAACTCTCCAAAAATTAGCAACAATCTTCATCCAAGTTTCAACTTTGTCCATCATTACAGAAGCAAACAACAATAAACACCGATGCCGTAACCTGCATAATATACAAAACAATATACAGCTGCTGCTGTCTCAAGCCAAAAAAAAAAACCTTGAAAATAATCTTGGAACCAGATCCTTCAACATCGCATCTTCGCCAATCACAACCTTAACCTCAGCAACACACTGCCTTAACAACAACAATCTCGATCATGCTCTTTCAAATCTTGTACTTCGTGCTACAAAATCAAGAACCGGTTTCCATTCTGGTTGTCGCTGCGGAATTTACGGGTTTTTTTGACGAATCCGCATAACAGAAACGACATCCGCCGCGCCGGAATCATGCACACACAGCCCAACTGGACCTTCTGTACTCCTTCCGCGAGGATCAGAACAGCCGCACCGCGAGCCAACCGACAAACTCCATCAACACAACTCAATAACATAACCCGCAAAACTGTATGCATCAGAAGCGGAAATTGTATAAGAAGAGAAAAGAGTGTTAACATCGTACCTGAACCATTTGCCGCGTTGGATTCATCATCAGAAAACTCTTCTTCTCCACCGGTAATCTCTTCTGTTTCACTTCGTCTTTTTTAGATTGTTTGGTGTTTGCGTGTTGCTGTTTATTTGTTTATATGGATATGTTGTTATTAATCTGTGTTCAATAAACCAAGATTTGAAACAAGAGAGTTCTTTTGTTGTTGTTGAGCGATGAAGAGGAAAGGATGCGATTAAGAAGAAAGAGAAATCTTATCTGTGCTGAATTCGGTAGATGGTCAAGAGGAAGGAGATGGTGGTGTTGATGCGTTTGGGAGAGAGATAACCGTTAGTTTTATTTCTCCAAGATTTAACCTTTAATTTATTTTAATTGGGGTATTAAGAGATTAATAAGGAGGACCAAATCCCTTCACTTTTTTCTTTGTTTTATTAATAATAATAATAATATAATAATTCTTTTCTCTCTTCCCAACATAATAATAAATATAATTTTTTTTTCTCCCTTTTCCTAAGCAGCCGCCGGCGCCCTCTTAACCTAATTAGGTTACATCACTTTTACTCCTTCCCTTTTTTTGACCCGGTGGCCCATTGGGCCCAATTTAATCAATTTCAATTCCCATTTTTTCCTTTATGTTCTTATTAACTCATGCTATTAATGAATAAACAATATTAGCTCAATTGGTAAAAGGTGTTAGCAGCATTCTATATGTCCTGGGTTCAAGTCCTTGTTGGGACACTTTTCTATCTTTTACCTTTTATTTCTTTTGGCCATAATATTTAACATACTTAATAATATTAATTTAATTTGTTGTTTAATTAGTAACTATTAGAAAAAAAAAACATAAAAATGTTCAATTAAAATTTATCTTTATTTATTTTGTCAACATACTATTTAATTCTTATTTTTATTTTGTCAACATACTATTTAATTCTTATTTTTATTTTGTGTTGTTGTCTATTTAATTATTCAAAAATATATGTTTCATGATTTAATTTTTGCCATGTGTTTAATTATCAAAAAATCTATGTTTTCTTAATTTAATCTTCATGTATTTTTTTATTATTTATCTAATTTTTAAGATGCATGCTAGTATGATTTAAATTTCATTAGTTAATTGTTTAATTATAATTAATCATTAATCCGCATATCTTTCGTCCGTTTCAATCCAAGGGAATTGTCTAATTTTTTTGTCGACTTTATGTCATCGAAAAAACATCGTGCGAATACCCTCATTCATTAAAAACATAGGATAATTTTTTCGAAATATTCAATTTTCAAAACTCACACCTTTTAAGCCAAAACTTCGACATTAGGTCGTCGTACCTTCAAAAACCCGTCCGTACCCCTTTTCGGCCAAAACGATTTATTTTTAATCAAACGATCAATTTTAATAAACAGATATTTCAAAAGGTTCCTATAGAGTACTATAGATACATTGGGTGCTAATACCTTCCCATTGTATAACCAACCCTCGAACCATAGATCTTTTCAGAAACGCCTTGTATCTTTATTACTTTTAAAAAGTATTATTTACATTGCATATTTAGGGTTTTATTTCGCTCTTTCCCCTTTTCCCTTGGAAACAATAAAGCGCGGTGGCGACTCTTGCTTTTGTGAGACGAGTTAATCAATAATTCGATCTCCGATTTACCCCGCTACATTTTTTATCGCTACAGAATTGGCGACTCTGCTGGGGAGTGATTGACCTCTTGCTGGTCCATCCCTAAGTGGGTTAAGCCTAATTTGTTTTATCTGTTTACTATTATTTGATTTGCTTGATTATATGTTTAAATTGGGGTGTTTGGGTTTTTTTGCAAAGGACGAATCCTATACCCGGATTAAGTAACACATAAGGAATAGGACGGGCGGTATAGTCATGTTAACTTTGAGGGAGTAATCCCGAAGAAGGAGGCATGAGATCCCCCACTCAATGGAAGGCCCTCTTGAACTTAATATTTGTTTACCGAGTAATCGGGAAGACATTATTATTTTCGACCTAGGAGCCCGAGTAGTTGAGGACCGTAGAACCCCAACCCATCTTGGCCTTTTTAGGTGTAGCGCGAAGACTATAACGGAGTAATTCGGAAGTAGTTGTTACGCGATGCTACGCTCGGACGAGTTTCTCTTGAGAATATTGCTAATTATTGAGTAATCAAGACGCTGGTAATATCCGAAGGAGGAATGTAGACTCTGGGAACTCTTAGAACCTTGTCTTACAGGTGCGATTGAACCACTAGTACATACCTTTGGGTGGGCTTTACCCTTGACTCCATGCTGAAACGTTAAACCTTTAAACCCCATGTTTGTGACCTTGCTTGTGGTTGTTGCATAGCCATGCATTCATGCATCCATAAAACCCTTTTCCCTTGACTTTCAAGGAATTTGGAGGTCTTTCTTTGTAAACATCACAAGTTTCGTCAAGCTCAATGGATCTTGGGTGTTGATAGGGTGAAAACCCTAATCCACCAAAATGGATGATTGATCTTAATGATAACTTGATCGACGCTTTGATCCAATTCAAAATTCCTCTTCTATCTTCACACTTTGATGTTTACAACTTAATATCTTGAGTTCCGTGAAAGTCAAATAAAAACTCTTTGTTGCATATCATGCATCATCCAACACTTCACATGTTTTCTAAAACTGGATTTTTTAACGCATGGAGTGGCTTGCCAGAACTGGATTGTTGTTGATGTTCCTGTTGTGATGCACATTTCCGAGTAATGTTTTGTTTATTTTCCTTTGAAAAAAAATTCGCTTTGCCCAAGGCAAAACGTATTTTGTGTCGGGCTATGAAAATAATTCCTTTTGCTCTGCCCAAGGCAAAAGAGAAATGTCTGGGCTTTTTGTTTCAAGTATTTCCCTTTAATGAATAAAAATGTTATTTTGTCCACTGCTGTTTTATTTTTCACTTTTTCTGGGAAATAACAATGAAAATTAATTAATAACATTTTGTTTTATTTGCACAAATCGATTTCTAAAATAAAGCATAATCATGTGTGCAGATTACTTCATGACTTAACCATCGAAAACAGTGATCCTATGCCCTCTCCCAACTTTGAATTCCCCGTGTTCAGAGCCGAAGAAGAGGATGATGAAGAGGTTCCTGTTGAGATTTCCCGTTTGCTTGAGCATGATGAGAAGGTCATTCAACCATTTGAAGAACCTGTAGAGTTGGTCAATTTGGGTGATGAAGAGGTTAGAAAGGAAGTCAAGGTCGGAGCATTGCTTATCCCGGAAGTTAAGGAGAAGATGTTGGAGCTTCTCAGAGAGTATGTTGACATATTTGCTTGGTCCTACCAAGATATGCCAGGGTTGGACAACGACATCGTGGAGCATCGTTTACCGTTGAGACCTGAGTGTCCACCGATCAAGCAGAAGTTGAGAAGGACTCGTCCTGACATGGCCGACAAGATTAAAGAAGAAGTTCAGAAGCAGATCAACGCAGGTTTTCTTGTGACGTCGGTCTATCCTCAGTGGTTAGCCAACATCGTGCCCGTTGCTAAGAAGGATGGTAAGGTTCGGATGTGTGTAGACTACAGAGATCTGAATAGAGCTAGTCCGAAGGATGATTTCCCATTACCTCATATCGACGTATTGGTCGACAGTACCACTAAGTTCAAAGTCTTTTCTTTCATGGACGGTTTCTCTGGTTACAACCAAATCAAGATGGCACCGGAAGATATGGAGAAGACCGCTTTCATTACACCGTGGGGAACTTTCTGTTATCGAGTTATGCCGTTTGGTTTGAGGAATGCTGGCGCAACGTACCAAAGAGCCATGACTGCTTTGTTTCATGACATGATGCATAAGGAGATCGAAGTGTATGTGGATGACATGATTGCCAAATCACAAACTGAGGAAGATCACTTGGAGCATTTGTTAAAGCTATTCCAGCGTTTGAGAAAGTACAAACTCCGTCTGAATCCCAACAAGTGCACTTTTGGTGTTCGCTCTGGAAGGCTTCTGGGTTTCATTGTCAGTCAAAAAGGCATTGAAGTAGATCCGGATAAAGTCAAAGCTATTCGGGAAATGCCCGCACCCAAGACGGAAAAACAAGTAAGAGGATTCCTTGGGAGACTGAACTACATTTCTAGGTTCATATCTCACATGACTGCTACTTGTGGGCCGATTTTCAAGCTTCTCCGCAAGAACCAAGGATGTGTGTGGACAGAGGATTGTCAGAAAGCTTTCGACAGTATCAAGGAATATTTGCTCGAACCTCCCATTTTGATTCCCCCGGTGGAAGGAAGACCATTGATTATGTACTTGACCATATTAGAAGATTCCATGGGATGTGTGCTTGGTCAGCAAGACGAGACTGGAAGAAAGGAACATGCTGTATATTATTTGAGTAAGAAATTCACAGACTGTGAGTCTCGATACTCATTGCTGGAGAAAACTTGTTGTGCTTTAGCTTGGGCTGCTCGCCGACTGCGCCAGTATATGATTAATCACACTACTTGGTTGATCTCCAAAATGGACCCAATCAAGTATATCTTTGAGAAGCCCGCCTTATCTGGAAGGATAGCCCGTTGGCAGATGTTGTTATCTGAATATGACGTTGAGTATCACACTCAGGAAGCAATCAAAGGGAGTATTTTGGCCGATCATTTGGCTCACCAACCAATTGAAGACTATCAATCCATCAAGTTTGACTTCCCCGATGAAGATGTTATGTACTTGAAAGCTAAAGACTGTGAAGAGCCGTTACCTGAAGAAGGACCTGATCCTGAATCCCGATGGGGTTT